TTTTTTTTTTTTTTAATGAACATTTTTTTACTATTTTTTTAAATTAGTAACAAGTTTGTTTCACATGTAAATCCCAGCTCCCTCTCTTTCCTCTCCTCCCCTGCCCTCCCCCAATAACCTCCCAAGCCCCTACCGCCTCCCCCATCTGCTCCTCAGGTAGGGTGAGGCCCTCCACGAAGGATCTCCAAAGTCTGCCATACCATCCCAGGCAGGGCCTAGGCCTTCCCTTCTGTGTCCAGACTGAGAGAGAACATCCCTCCATGTGGAATGGGCTCCTAAAGTTCATTTGTGTGCCAGGTATAAATACTGGTTTACCACCTGAGGCCTCCTCACTGACACCCACACTCAGGGGGTCTGGATCAGTCCCATGCTGGCCTCTCAGCCATCAGTCTGGGGTCCCTGACTGTTCAGGGCAGCTGTTTCTGTGGGTTTTACCAGCCAGGTCTTGACCCCATTGCTTATCACTCCTCCTTCTCTGCAACTGGGTTCCAGGAGTTCAGTTCAGTGTTTAGCTGTGGGTGTCTGCTTCTACTTCCATCAGGTACTGGATGAAGGCTCTAGGATGGCATATAAGGTAGTCATTAATCTCATTATCGAGGAAGGTATTTAAGGTAGCCTCTCCACTATTGCTTAGATTGCCAGTTGGTGTCATCCTTGTAGATCTCTGGAAATCTCCCTAGTGACAGATTTCTCTTTAAACCTACAGTGATATGATACAAGTTATGATGTCTCTTAACTTGCTCTCCACTATTCTTCCCCTGACTCAACCTTCCTGCTCCTCCATGTCCTTCTCTCACCCCTTCTCCCCTCCCCCCATGCTCCCAGTTTACTCAGGAAATCCTATAACATTCCTCTTTTCCGGGCTACCATTCATGTCTCTCTTAAGGTCCACCCTGTTTCCTAGACTCTCTGGCAGTGGGATTGTAGGCTGGCAATCCTCTACTCTATGTCTAAAATCCATGTGTGAGTGAGTATATACCATGTTTGTCTTTTTGTGACTGGGTTACCTCACTCAGGATGGTAGTGCCATCCATTTAACTGTTGTTCTTAATGAAAATGAGCCAGATACAATTCCTCCCTCAAAGATTCTTCTAGTGCAGTTTGGGTGTTAGATATGTAAATAGATAGATTCTATATGATACACTTTGAGAGGTTTTGTATTATCAGAACACAGGAATATGTGTGCTCAATTCTTTGTAAGAGGCTTCTTGAGTGCTGCAATTAAAGGCATGTGCCATCACTCCCTAGCTGGAAAAAACTATTTGAATTCCTACATAATTAACCAGATTATCTTGGAGCAAAACATATTTGAAGCTTTTTGTTGTTGTTGTTTTGTTTTTGTTTTTCAAGACAGGGAAAATGTAGCTTTGGAGCCTATCTTGGCACTCGCTTTGTAAACCAGGCTGGCCTCGAACTCTCATAGATCAGCCTGCCTCTGCCTCCTGAGCTGGGATTAAAGGCATGCACCACCAACGCTAGACCTTGAAGCTTTTCTTTTTTTTCTTTTTTTTTTGTTTTTCTTTTTTTCTTTTTGAGGTAGGGTTTCTCTGTGTAGCCTTGGCTGTCCTGGAACTCAAACTATAGACCAAGCTTCCACCTGCCTCTGTCTCCCGAGTGCTAGGATTCAAGTAGTGTGCCACCATTTCCTGCAGAGTTTTTAAAGGTTTTGAAAGGGAGCAAGAATGCCATGATAATATTCTCTAGAGCTGAGTACTTGCTTATTCAACTAGGAAAATCCTTTTGTATTAAAACAAAAAATTAATTGGCATCACATCTACCCAACAAATATTAAGTACTCAACTTTGTGCCAGGATATAATTTATTTGTCCAGCAAATGTTGACTGAGTGCCTTCTCCAAGCTAGGAACTGTTTTCTAGATGCCATACTTAGAGTTAACAAAATAGACAAAAATGGGCTTTTCTTAGATTACATTTTAGATAATCAAAATTTTTTTAGCTATTTCTTTTTTGTGCCAAAGACTTCTCCTGATGAAGAATGTATTGTTTATTTTTTAAACTTATTGAGCAGGATTGGGGGGGGTGGTTTTTTCCAACAAGAAAAAAATCTTTTAAAGAGTGAGTCAAAGTCAGCTGAAAAGTTACTTTAGTGCTTGGAGTTTGTTTTTTATATCCTGTTAGCTTCATTAGAACATGAGAACTGTTACTATATGGGCTTGTAAAGTGTGAGGAAGCAGTGATATTTCTTGATAAATATCTTTGCCCCTGTCAGAATACCTGACATGTTTTCTGTTGATAATTTTGCCTTATAATTTTATGAGAAATTTCTCTTCTCTTTGTTTAATTTCCTCTTCAGTAAAATTAGTTCTCCACCCAAGACTCCTGTAAGTAATGCAGCAGCTACCTCCGCTGGGCCCTCTAATTTTGGAACAGAGCTGAGCTCCGTGCCTCCCAAATCCAGCCCATTTCTAACTAGAGTTCCAGTATATCCTCAGCATTCTGAAAGCATTCAGTATTTTCAAGATCCAAGGACTCAGATACCCTTTGAAGTCCCACAATACCCACAAGCAGGTAAGTAATTTTTATCAGTTGTAAGAACAAAGAAGCAAATATATATATGTATTTATTACCCAAAAATAAGTGAGTGTCTAGGCTATCTGTATTAACAGATTAATATCACTCTGTGAGCCATAAGTTTTCTTCCTGCCCTAAGAAATCTTTGCTTCTTGTTTTTAATTCTGTCACTTGGTAGACAGTAACAGGGAGAATTAAGAAGTCAGAGCCAGCCTTAGCTACATAGTGAGTTCCAGTCCAGCTTGTACTACATGAAACCCTGTCTCAAAACAGACAAATGAACAAACAAAGGCTATTTTATTATTTATTTTCATTTGTATTAACATTTACCCCACTCATATACCTAGGTGCGTATGTTTTCTATATTGCCACCAGTAATATACAGGGATTTGTATTGCTATACATCCTTGTTGATACTTGGTATCTTTGGTCTTTTGGGGGGGTATAACAAAGGGGAGCATGCATGCTATGGTGCACATGGTAGTCAGAGGTAAATTTGTCAGTCAGTTCACTGTGGGTTTGGGGAGTGAACTCATGTTGAACTTCGCATGATAGGTACTCTTAACATCTGAGCCATATTACTGTCCTGACTTCTTTTATAATAGCCATTCATACTGGAGTGAGGTGATATTTCATTTTGGTTTTTATTTGTATATTCCAAAATAATACTAATATTAAATATTTTTATTATACTAATTGGCCATTTAGATATCTTCTTTTGACAAATGTTTATTTAGATATACTGCTTATATTTATCAACTTGCTTTGTTTTTTATTGTCATATATGTAGCTTGCAAATATTTTCTCCCATTCTGTAGGCTGCCTCTACACTCTAATTTTTTTCCTGTGAGAAGTTTTTTTGATACAGTTCCAGTCATATGTCTTTGTTTTTGTATTTTTGGGGTCTTTTCTAAAAAATTCTTGCTTGTTCTAGTACCGTGAAACATTTCTCATGATTTCTTTTAGTAGGGTTACAGTTCCATGCGATACATAGAAAGCTTAAATCTATAACTGGTTAGAAATAAGAGTTTATTTCATTCTTCCACCCAGATACTAATAGTTGTCTTTTGTAAGAATCAAATACTGAATCCATGAATGACCTCAGTGAAATGGTATATAAAGTAAAATGTTTTTGTGCTTCATTAAAAGATTTATTTTTGCTCTTTTGTATATCAACAATTGCCTGCATGTATGTATACCACATGCATGCAGTCCTTTTGAAGTTAGGGTTACCAATGGTTGTGAGCTTCTCATTGGGTGCTGGAAACTGAACCCAGGTCCTCTGCTGGAACAGCAAGTACTCTTAACTTCTGAGCCATCTATAAAACCCTGCTTTTTGTTTTTATTTATTTTTGAGGGAGGGTCTCACTATATGTAGCTCTGGCTTGTCTAAAACTCTTGGACCAGGCTGGCCTCAAATTCAGACATCCACCTGTTTCTGCCTCAGGAATGCTGGGATTCAAGGAGACTGCCACCACATCTGTTTTGTGTACAATTTGAAAAGAAAATGAATAAATTCTGAGATCTTTAACATCTGTGCCCAATGATATAACTAATTACTTATGTAGAAATCTCATGCAAAAGATTCATTTAATGGGCTGGGCAGTTGTGGCACAAGTCTTTAATCCCAGCACTTGGGAGACACAGATAAGGCAAAGGAAGCCCTGTGAGTTTGAGGCCAGCCTAGTCTAAAAAGCGAGTTCCAGGACAGCCAGGGAACAGAGAAATCCTGTCTCAAAAGACCTTGGGGGTGGGGGGGGGGATTCTTTAAATGGGAAAATCAGTATTCCATCTGCCAACAACTCTGTTTCTTGATTTTAAGGAATAGTTTTAACAATGTTGAATGTTAATACTAGTTTAATGGTAACTTGACAATAATGCAGTTTCTATAGTAAGGTGAAGGTCAACACTGATTATATTTTCCCACAATCAGGCCTCTTTAGACTTGAACCATTATAAAATGCCGGTTTTTACTAAGATGTTACATTGAATATTCCTCTTTTAATTTTCAAGGGTACTACCCACCACCTCCAACGGTACCAACTGGTGTGACTCCTTGTGTTCCTCGATTTGTGAGGTCCAATAATGTTCCAGAGTCCTCCCTTCCACCTGCTTCCATGCCATATGCTGATCATTACAGTACATTTTCCCCTCGAGACAGAATGAATTCTTCTCCTTACCAGCCTCCTCCGCAGCAGTATGGACCAGTACCTTCTGGAATGTATGCTCCTGTGTATGACAGCAGGCGCATCTGGCGCCCAGCTATGTACCAACGAGATGACATTATTAGAAGCAATTCTTTACCTCCAATGGATGTGATGCACTCATCTGTCTATCAGACATCTTTACGGGAAAGATACAACTCATTAGATGGATATTACTCAGTGGCTTGTCAGCCACCAAATGAGCCAAGGACGACTGTGCCTTTACCAAGGGTAAATAATGTTGAACATAGAAATGTTACTGATATGTGTTAGTTGAGATCCGGTGTCTTGAGTCAAATCAGACAGACTCTCACTGTGATTTTTCCCCTTTTTTGTTTTGTTTTGTTTTTCATCTGCTTGATGCAAATAAGAATAGTGCCTATTTAAGGCTGTTGTGAGAATTAAAACAATCAAAGCTTTTAGAACTAGACTTGATACATACCAATGTTCAAAAGTAATGTTATGTTCAGTTAGGAACTGATGTAGGAAAAAAAAAATCCTGATGATAGAAGAACAAGGCTTCTTCAGTAGCTTCGTATATATACAAATGACTCTAAAGTAGAAAAGTGAGTGCTCACATTTTACTTAACATCAGCTGAACATATGTTAACCTTTTTGTTTTAATATATGGAGAGAACACTAGGGTGGTAAGGCAGTTTCTCTGATCTTTGTGTATATGTGTGCATCCCAACAATATGAATTTTTTTACCTTATTCTCACAGAACTTAGTTAAGTTTATTTAACACTCTACAGGTGACCAAGATTTTTTCTTCTACTTTTCCTTAGGAGCCTTGTGGTCATTTGAAGACTGGTTGTGAGGAACAGATAAGAAGAAAGCCAGATCAGTGGGCACAGTACCATACCCAGAAAGCACCTGTCTCTTCAACTCTGCCTGTGGCTACACAATCACCAACACCACCTTCTCCTCTATTCAGTGTAGACTTCCGAACAGATGTAAGAAAGGTTTGAAGCACTTAGTAATCACTAATGGCCAAACAGCTGACTTTAAAATAGGGTTAACTATTTTGGAATGATTTTATATGGGGTCAGATTTAGCTCAGTAAACATTGTGGAAACTATGGCTAGGTGAGGAGATTGAGTCCTTTACCAGGATTTCAGAAGCTTTACAGCAGTAGACTTAATACTTTATATTTTTATTGTTACGTTTTTTGGCTGTTTAGTTTTGGTCTACGTCCAGACCCAGAGCCTTGCATATCCTCTACCATTGAGCTTCCTTCACCCTAACTCCCAGTTGGTGTGTGCTTCAGAATAAGATCTATACCTATCATTTACCTACTAACTACTTAAAAAATTCAATCTTAATTCTCACAAAAACTTTTAAGAGGGCAGGTATTATCCCCATTTTGTAGGCCATAACCCAGGGAAGTTAAATAATTTGTTCAAGATCTTTCATCTTATAAATAGCTAGGGTTTGAATCCTAATGTGTTTTATTGTTGTTATTGTTGTTGTTGTTTTGTACGTTTGTTTTTGAAGTTAAATAATTTGTTCAAGATCTTTCATCTTATAAATAGCTAGGGTTTGAATCCTAATGTGTTTTGTTGTTGTTGTTGTTGTTGTTTTGTACGTTTGTTTTCTTGCTGTTTCACAAGAAGTGCAGAAATGCCTGCTATATTATTTCTGCTATTTATATCTTTATTCATTATTCTTGTTATTGCAACACAAGTTCATGATGGGATGATTTCTATTCTATTTGCCTTCTTTATTGTATGTTTTGTGTATATATGTGTTATTTTTGTTTTGTTTTTGTTTTTTGAGGTAGGGTCTTTCTGTGTAACAACTCTGGCTATCCTGGAACTCGGTCTGTAGACCAAGCTGTCCTTGAGCTCACAGAGATCCACCTGCCTCTGCCTCCAGAGTGCTGGGATTAAAGGTGTGCACCACCACTGCCCAGCAAGAAAATTTTTTTAGCATACACTTTGGTTTATTCCTCACCCCCAGTGTTTCAGGTACAAAAAAACCAACAGAACAAAAAACAGTTTTAAAATCTTTTTTGTTATGAAAAGTTTCAGGCATACAAAAAAATGTAAAGACAGTAATTGCATATAAAATATGTCACTTCCATAATTGTCAACTTGGTCAAATTTGTTTCATTTGTACTTCTTGCCACTGGATTATTTTGGCCTAGTCCCTGCTATAAATACACATTTATTTATAATTTAATTTGTTGGATTTGTGTAGTTTTGGGTTTTTTTTTTACTTTTTAAAATCTGTGTGTGTGTGTCTGTCTGTCTGTCTGTCTGTCTGTCTGAGTATATGCCACATGTACAGATGCATAGAGGTCAGAAGAGGGCATTGGATTCCTCAGAACAGGAGTCAGAGGAGGTTACTAGCTGCTCAGTATGGGTTCTGGCAACCAAACTCAGGTACCCTGAAATAGCAGCAAACACACTCAATTATTGAGCCATTTCTCCATCCCCTAATTTTGTTTGTTGAGACAGTGTTTCACTAGGTAGTCTAGGACTCAGCAATTCTCCTGAATTCTTAGTGCTGGGTGAGTAAATGTAAGCTATAACACCTAAATTAGATAAGTATTTCTATTCAGGAGTATTTTATAAAATACATTTTTAACCTATTCATATTCATCTCACTAAACCGAGACTACCACTGCCTCAAAATAAGTGAACAGGTTGGCAGTGATTGATACTAATGTCACTTTTATAGAATGGTATATTTTTCTCTATCTTCTTTTGCCTTTTTCTTTCATCTTTTCTCTCTCTCTCTCTCTCTCTCTCTCTCTCTCTCTCTCTCTCTCTCTTTTTTTTTTTTTTAGATAAGATTCTCTGTATGGCTGTCCAAGAACTAGCTCCTGTAGACCAGGCTGGCCTCAGATTTGGAGATCCGCCTGCCTCCGCCTTCTGAGTGGTGGGATTAAAGGTGCGTGCACATCACCGCCTGTCCCATATTTTCATTTTTTATACGATATACTTTAAGAAATAAGTATTTTGCTGGGCAGTGGGCACGCCTTTAATCCCAGCACTTGGGAGGCAGAGGCATGTGGATATCTGTGAGTTCAAGGCCAGCCTCTTCTACAGAGCTAGTTCCAGGACAGCTAGAGCTGTTTGTTATACAAAGAAACCCTGTCTTGGAAAAACTGAAGAGGAAAAAAAAAGAATAAATGTTTCTCTGAGATTCATCTCAGTTATTTGTAAATAGCATTACTCATGTTTAACTTTTCTGTTCCTCAGTTTCCCTATAATTAGTCGAGTAGATTTTAATATTTACACCTTTAGTGTCCTGGCAATATTATCATAGTGCTTTACATTTCCTTCACATCTATTCTTTTCCTTTTATGGCTTCAGAGCTGCCTTTGGATACCTTTTGCTGGTTAATACTGCCTGGCTTATTATGTCCCTTTATTTGCTACATGGTCTTGTCTCAAGAGAATTACAGACTGCTTTAAGACATGGACTGTTACCTATATATGTTTTTCTTTTTTTTCTTTTTTTTGTGAGCATCGCATACCATGTTAGTGTGTTATTATTAGTTGATTTTGATAGTATTGATCAGGAGTTTTGTAATAGCACTTAAAGGACTGAGGCAGTAAGACAGCTTAGTAGGTAGGGCTGCTTGCTGCAGAGCCTGATACCGTCACTTTGACCTTCATTTTGATTCCTGGGACCCATGTGGTGGACGGAAAGAACCAACTTCCACAAGTTGTCCTCGGGCTTCTATTCACACATTATGGCAACTGTATACATGCACACTAAATAAATAAAATGAGATTTAAACTTTTGTTTTAATTTAAATATCACTTAATAGGACAAAAGTGAAAGAA